ATGTTAAAATAAATTTTACATGACGTTTAAAATATGTTAAACCTTTCTTTCTGGAAGGTTATATACAGTGTATCAAACTATAAACGATGGACACATGAAACCTGGAGTATTACAAAGGAAATTGATCAAAGTTTCATTTGAGATTTATGCTCTATATATTATAAATATCATACATATTCCTTATATCTCTAGATTCTAAACTTCCTTATGTGCAGTTAGGTCAATATAATTTGTTGCTATAAATTAAAAATTCAGTAGAAAAAAATTTATATAATTTCTACATATACTTGGTTTTATCCGACCTGGTCGGATAAAATTAAGCTATAGCTTCTTTCCAAAAAATAAATATTTTACTCTCCAAGCCATTTTTTACAATAAATAATTTGTATAAATTTCAAATTAAAGGATTGTTTTATCAACCAAATAAAAAGTTAAACAATTTTATTCAAGGAATTTCTTAGAGAAAATTAGAAAACTTTAAAGAATCGGCTTTGTGCAACTTTTTCCAACCTGTTTATTTAGTATAACCCCATATGTATTATTTTATCAAATTTATGCTGTGTCTCCAAAATTTAAACATGTAAATTAATTTATAGAACTCATTCCATAAATATATTTTTAAATATTATTTTCGATTCTTCTATTCTTCTACTTATTCCACAGTATTTTATAAGAAAATATTTAACTTATTTTCCCCAACATTTAGTTCACAAAAATGTAATGTTGTGTACATTTTCACCGAAATGTTTCTGTAGGTTCAAAAAAATTAAACAAGTGAATTTATTTATAGAACTCATTCCTTACATATTTTCTGCATTATTTTTTCGATTTTCCTATTCTTACTTTCCTTCTACTTATTCCATAGTGTTTTAAGGAAATATTTTATTTATTTTTACTAAAATATTCACAAAAGTACAATGTAGGGAAAATTTTTTCCAAAATGCTTTTTGTAGTGTCACCAAAATTAAACACGTAAATTCATTTATAAAACTCATTCTCTCTCATATATATATANTGTTCAAATTCAGAGGGGGTCGTTATATTAAGAGTTGACCATTTTTACGGTCGTTATAGCAAGAGTAAAATAACGTTATCTTTTATGGATGTGAATTGGGACTCCTTCACAGGGTAGTTATAACACGAGTCGACTATATATATATATAATTATATATATATATATATACATATATTAAGGATTATTTAGTTATCTTCTTTCATTCTTTCTTTTCATATACTTTCAATACGTATACTCATTCCATACACTACCCTACAATAATTGAAGAAACACTTTCAGTTTTGGGAATTTTTTTCAAATTTCTCAAGAAACAACAAGAGAATTATTTTATAACTGTTTTTAGGCTACGTAATTTCTTTTACGTATCAATGAAGTTGAAAGATTTTAGAAGTTTGAGGTACCACCAATAAATTACGAACGAAAAAAAGTGTTTTTGAATAAACTATACCAAAACAAATATAGCAACAAATTTGCAATTTGAATCATTTACTTTGGTTATATGTAAATTGCATAAAATTTCGTAAGCCTATTTTAAATATTTACGGAGATACAGATATTTTTATAAATTTGGATTCATCTCTTGAGAACTTCTTTGCTTAGCTTTCGTAACTGTAAAAAATATAACTAAAATTGATTTATTTTTTAAAATTTCATGAGCCTATCTCAAATATTTACGGAGATACAGATATTTTTATAAATTTGAATTCATCTCTTGAGAGCTTCTTTGCGTAGCTTTCGTACTGTAAAGAATATGACTAAAATTGATTTATTTTTTAAAATTTCATGAGCCTATCTCAAATATTTACGGAGATACAGATATTTTTATACATTTGGATTCATCTCTTGAGAGCTTCTTTGCGTAGCTTTCGTACTGTAAAGAATATGACCAAAGGTGATTTTTTTTATTTTGGCTTCTGCTGCTTGGATTTAAAGACATACAATTTTTGTTATTACCATGGCATATTCATCAAGTTTTTAGACGTTTAATTTTAAAGCATATATTTGATACTTAAATTCCCAGCTATTCCAGATATTTAAACTTTTCATCCAAGTTAGACAATCTTGCTTTTGTATTTGATCGTAAAGGTCTTTTAGGATCCACTGTTTAAGCACCCACTGTACCAAATATAACTACAATAAATAAAATTTCTTTTAATTGGCCATCTACAGTTACCCATGCTCAACCCGATTCATATTACGTAGTCTTATATTTGAAGTAATGCAATATAATAACAAGCATTACCCTAGAAAAGGTGATAATATAACAAAATGTCTTGTAAACATGGAAATATAATTACAAAATATTATTTCTTTGAAGTTTTGAAAATATATGCAAAAAACGTAAAAATTGGTTTAACATACCAAGAAATATTGATTCCTACCTGCATTATTCGTATCATTCACAATAGCTTCAAAAGATTAGGTGGAACAGACAAAATTTCTCTGTCAATATGTTTACATAGTAAGCGCCTAGAAAATAACGGCGTGCACTTAAGGGCACGATTGAGTTTCCGCTACATGTGCACACGCACGATGAAAGATACCCAAGTAGAGATTATAAATTGTTGTTATTGGAACATTTCTTTGAATGGCAAAAAATAAATTTTTTTGGAATTCTGAACTTAATTTTTGAAATTTGACTGGTTAATTCTTAATGATCAAACATTGTGTGAAAGCGGAAAATTGAATTTATCAGTGGCAAGGATTTTATAACCCCAAATTATCATTATAATTGAGTATAGAGCAGTAAAAATATTCATATGCACACTCTTAGAAATTTCTCGGAAAAAATGGTGAAATAGCAATTTATTTAATTGTTACTTTACCATATTCAGCTAAAACAGTCAAATAACAGTAAAAGAGATGCTAGTCAAAGTGAGAAAAAAACGTTTATTGATTATTTTTATCTAATACGGTTTAATAACCCGAATTCATTCCTTGCCAAAGGCCCACCTTATGAGGCCACTTTGTTCCCAGCCATTTCCATGTGAACCAAATGCATGGTTTAAATCAGTGGTTCCCAACCACTGGGCAGTGGACCGATACTGGTCAGTGGATCAAATGGTACTGGCCCACCTAAGAAACACTGAATTATTTTTATTTTATTTTCTGTGAGGTATTTCTCTCAGATTTGTGGGACTTTCTATAGACAAGAGGTTAACTAGAAGCTGAGATAAAAACTTAATCTGAGATAAACTTGAAACTAAGATCCATCGCTTAAAGCCCATACCCCGCATACAACGGTATTACTTAAAGGCATGTTTAAACACAAATTAAAGTTATTAAATTAAAACCATCTGTAATATAAACAATCAATATCCCCCCTCCTTCAGCGAATCGTGGTAAAATGATCAAACGTTGACCGGTCAGCAGCGATCAAAAGGTTGGGAAGAACTGATTTAAATATCACATATTTTGGTTTTATTACCTGAATTATTTGGTTTTATAGCCTGTTTTTTTTTACCAAAAATATCATTGTCATACAAGCACAGTAATTTTACCAGATTATTTTTTTATCCGTGAGTAAACAAATTAGTTCTACGACTTTTTTAGTATTGGTGGTTTTCATAGACGTTTTATGGGCGGTTGAAAATCGGAAAAATTATTTACTGTATTCACTTTATAATTCTACATTTACTTTAATTTTGTGTGCTAGATAACATATTCAAATAAAAAATTTGATTAATTGTTGTAACATTGAACTATATTTATAAAATTAGCAATTTTAAAATTTTTTTTATATTAGACATATTTAATTTAATTTTTTTATTTTTAGAGTTAAAGATTTTTGGCGAATATATTGCTATAAAAACTCCAGTTTAGATAAATACGTTAAGCATCTGAAATATGCATTACAAGACAATATTCAATTCATAACTGATTTAAAATATAAATTCAGTTTCCTCAGACATTTGTGATACAATTCCTAAATTCTCCTAATCCGAAAATTCCTAATTTGCTAGTGTGAGTTTTTTCTTCTTTTGCTAATTTTTCCCTTTTTTCATAGCACTTATAAAAGGCAATGTACTCAAAGAAAGAAATTACCTTTCTTGTAAAATAAAACTATAAATCTGGTTATTAAAACCCAAATATAGGGTATTTAGACCATCCATTTGGTAATATATCCGTTCATATGGTTACAGTTTACCGGAACTTTGGGTTTTCGAAATTATAGTTCTTGTCACCACACATTTAGTAAAAAATACAAAACTGAAATGTAAATCTTACGGAAAAAATGGTTTTAAGGCCATGCCCTAGGGCAGTGTTTCCCAAACTTATGTCTTCTGTGTACCTTTTCTAAATTTTTCGTAACGCTGTGTACCACTAATAAAAAAATGAATGTAATTTTTACAATAAAAAATTTGCTCAAAAGTTAAAAATCACAACTGGCTGTTGACACCCCTAATGATTAACTGTTAACTTTGCAAAAAATAGCCAATAGAAAAATATGTAATCCTAATTTTCATGGCTAACTTTGTTTTTAAATAAAATTTTGTGAAATTTTCGCTTGTTGTAAGATATTTCGCATAAGAACGCGTACCCCCACTAAACTGTTCCCGTACCCCTAAGGGTACGTGTACCACACTTTGGGAAGCACTGCCCTATGGTATTATGATAAAATTATCAATTTTCATCACATTTTGTAAAACCATATTTTATTGCCAACTTGCCAAAATCATTACCAAAGAGTTTCAGTAAAAATTATCCATCATTTTGGTCTTCCCATAGAAGCCAAAAACACTGTAAATTTTACCACAATCTGGTAGTATTGACCACACCTTTTTTTTCCTCCGTGCAGTGCGTAAAAAGCAAAAACAAAAAAAAAAATAGAGAAATAGTGAAAAGAAGAAAAGAAAACACCGTAAATAAAGTAAGCGTACTAAAGCTTATTAACCAATACATGTGAAATTGCTTAACAATTGAAATTATAACAGTATTATAAAATGTAATGTGCACAGAATATTATATCGATAAAACAAAATAATAAAGCAATTCAAATAAATATTTATACAGTTTTTTTGTCAATACAATTTATTCATAATATTTTGACATCTAGTTTTGGCAACCGTTATTCACAGCCAGTATAGACTCGACATTAAAAAACTGCGGTGCGGCCCCGACAGGAACTGAGAAAGATATCTTCAGCTGAAAGAAAAACAGTTACAGTTAAAATACAAAGACATTTTCATATTTTGAAGCAAGAAAAAATTGGTAAAAACTTTCAACTAATATGATTATACTTGTTGCTAATACAAACCTTTTTTCAAGTACAATCAATTTTAAAAATCATATGAAGAATGGAATTTTTAAAAAATATACACGTATTAAGAGTCACTAGTTAATATTTAAGCAAGAAAAAATGAAAATATTTATGCAAAAAATCAGATATTTAAAATTTGATATCTCAGGAACAATTCTTCCAATTTTGCTCAAATTTTGCATTTCGCCATGTAAAATTACATTTTTTAAAATAATGCACAAATTTGTATAGCATACAATTGTGGGGAGAGTAGCTTTCGGCCATGTCAACCGTCATCTATGAAACGATACCCCACATTGGTGACCCGGACGTGATGCGAACACGCCGAACTTGACAGTAACGCCCACTTCGATCTGGTAACGCTTACTTCGATGGATTGGATGGTCCACATTGAACAGTTGACTTGCTACTTGTGCCTGCTACATTATCCACCTCTTCGCGCTGTTGTTACTCAGTCTCGATTAAACACAACGTCTGCCTGCATACACTCGACTTCTAAAGGCAACACAGGAACGACAACTACTGTGAAGTTAATACACCTCTCACATTCAGCACTCAAAAAGTACGGTGATCTAATTACAGCTCTCCCGGCTTCTCACAAAAACAGCAATGAATCAACTTGTGGTATCCGTGCATCGAATTCTATCACAGATATAATTCTGGTGGGGGAGTACTGTAGCATGTCTACCACTACAAAAATATAATTCCAATTCGCTAGTATATAAGACATGTTAACTCGACTCTATGTCGGGGTACCTTATCATAGATGATGGTTGACATTGTCTATAACTTCTCATCCCCACACAATTCAGCATTTTTTCGACCATTATTAAATTAAATAATAAATAGTTACTAAACAAATTTTTCGCATGAAATTATATTTGGATAAACTAATTTTATAAGCATGTTCAAAAATTTTTAATCCACTTAAAAAGTTCTCGAGATATAGCAAAATACACAAAAAGTGAAATTAACATTAAAAGGTCCAAATTTTGAAGCGCTCTCGTGACCAAACTATTGGGACCTTATTTTATAAATTGCGACAACCCCCTATATTTTGGGGGTCAGAAATCTGAATCCGTCAAAAAACTGTACGTTTACTCAGAGAAAGTACATTTTGCGTCTGATTTCTGTGTCTAAACTTAAAATATCGTCTGCATAATTGAGATCACCCCTTCGAGCCATTAAGATCGAAAACTAGAACGTGATGAACCAATCCTTATATCAAAAGTTATTCAGAGTGGTCCTTTTTTTCCGCATTGTACGTACAAGAGTCTTTTTTTCTGAGAACTTAGCTTTCAAAATAGCAAGAATGTTTTCTTACTTCAACGTAAGTGCAAAATACTGAAGAATTAAGTACAAGAATATACTATATGTTCTGTAACTCCCACAATAAATATATATTTTTAAAATACTTGTCAAAAATAATATCAAGAAATTATGCAAATTAGGGTTCCTAAAATACTATGCAGTCAAATCCCGCTATAGTGAACACTGTTTATAGTGAACTCCCGGATATAGTGAACGAAATGCTCGCTCCCGTGCCTTGTTACACACGTATAATGTTATCTTTTGTGGATACAGTAAACCAAAAAAAGAGAGGAAGTAATACGAACTTTTTTCTGTCTTCGACTGATTTTCTTCTTTTTTATGTAACAAGTTTGAAATTTCTACTTCAAAATAAATGCGTATACCGATTTTTAAAACCATCTATAGCATGGAATGTAGCAAAAAGCATTTTTTCTCGTTTGTTTCGTTACTGAATTGGTTCAACATTCAAAGAAGCAGCAAATCTTCCAGTATCTGTACAAATGCTCCAAATCAAAGCCGATAAATTTGCTAAGTGATTTGGTGAGAATACTTTTATGTTCTCTAATGGCTGGTTAGATAGGTTTAAAAAGAGGAATAGCATAAATTCATGAAAAATTATCGGAGTCAGGAAGTGCTTTCATATCTGATGTTAAGGATTGCTCATCAGCTAAAGATTACTAATTTTCTTTGTACTCAAGACGAAAAGTATTAAAAAATATAAGTTAAAATTTTTTTTGTTACTACGTATTATTTTTCAGTCATTTTTGTATTTCATTTTATTGGTCATTTATTTAAATAATGTATAATAAAAAGGGGGGGGGAGTTTGGAAGCATTATTTAAAATTGTTTGCGGAACGGGATATAGTGAAGTCCCGGTTATAGTGAAACGAAATTTTGATCCTTGAAGGTTCACTATAGCGGGGTTTGACTGCAAGGTAAAAACAGAAACATTATCGAAATATGTCGAATGGTTATTGAAAAAAGAGACGTTGAAATAATTGAAGCAAGTTTAATAACCTCGTGAATCATTTTTCGAAAAATCCCTTTTCACACATTCATTTTCCCTTGGAATCAATCATGTTTTGATGTTTTTAATCACATTTTCCTAGTTAATGCTCAGTTAGATTCCAAATAACGTTTTTGATTTTCCTCATTTTAAACATTTATTTGTGACTCACACGGAGCAAAGAAATTCTGGTCAAATTGCTCTACCTTATAATAATAACATTTCTAGTAAGAAGGAAAAAATATAATTTAGGTAGTAAAAACCAAAATATGGGGTAATTAGTTCATTCATTTTGTGATTTTTCCGTTCATAAGATTTACGATTTACCAGAAATTCTGGTTTTCAAAATTATAGTTTTTATTACCACGCATAGTAATAAATACTAAACTGAAAAGAAAATTTAACCGAATAAATGCTTTTAATACCTTGCTCGAAGGTATCAAGATAAAATTATCAAATTTCACCACTTGTATCAATTTTTCTCACATATTACAAAACCATATTATACAGGGTGTCCCAAAACGACCGCATGAACTCTGCACAGCTAAATTCCTCGTTGGGAGTATATAAAAACTGCCCAAAGAAGCGTTCCTATACGATCCATAGCTTACGAGAAAAATACGAAAAACAAAGTATGACGTCACTGCCGGTGCAAGAAAAAAACACTTTATTGGACATATCAACAAAAGTATTTGCATATCTTTCAAGACGATAATGTTTAAAACGTTTGCCGCGCATATTCTGCTTTAAATTGTGCACAGTATACTGCTTTTGATATGTTCAATAAAGTGTTTTCTCTTGCACCGGCAGTGACGTCATACTTTGTTTTCCGTATTTTTCTCGTAAACTATGGATCGTACTGGAACGCTTCTTCGGGCAGTTTTTTCCCAACGAGGAATCTAGCTGTGCAGAGTTTATGCGGTCGTTTTGGGACACCCTGTATAACTAATTTTATCAAAATCATTACCAACATGTTTCGATAAAAACTACCAATCTTTTCATGTTCCCATCAAGTCAGAAACACGGTTAACTTTACCGCATTCCGGTAGTCTTGAGAATACTTTTTTTCTTAGTGCACAATATGTGTACTTTTTACTTTATTTTTGACAAGGATTTTAAAAGTTTGTATTAAGACCGCTCATAAAAAAACCTCTTTAAACTTTTATAGGTTAAACTCACAGCAAATGGCGTTAAAAATAGAAGATAGAACATGCAATGTTTAATACTTACTTGTGTCGCCTGATGCCATTGTAAGGTCAAGTTATAGGTACTGAATTGTTCCACTGCTTCCCCACTATAGGTAGGTAAGTTTTGGACATAAGTGTAGTCATTCATAGATGGTATAACAAATGTTTCTTTTGCTGTACAACTTTGAGGATCTTTAGCTAAGTTTGGTCCTTTACGATATCTTATTTGGACACACATGGCATTCGCATCTGAAGTTCCATTAATTTTCTTAGTAAATATAACAGTAGCATTCTGACCAGGTTGAAGAACTGTTTCTAGGTAGTTGCCTGCCAAAAAAAGAAACACAATAACAACAAATAAATGCTTATTTGAAGATGGTTAAGATGATTAAAATAGTTTTTTTATCAGCCATGGACCATTAATGCTTAAAGATGGCTGAGATAATTAAAATGGTTTTTTTAACAGGTATAGACCATAAATGCTTATTTAAAGATGGTTGAGACAAGATAAAAATAGTTTTATTTTACAGTAATGAACTATAAATGCTTATTTAGAGATTGTTGAGATGATTTAAATATTTCTTACGAAGCACGAGCCATAAATGCTTATTTAAAAATGGTTAAGATGATAAAAATAGTTTTTTTTTCAAATAGTCATGTACCAAGCGGTCTGTGGTTTTCAATAGATTGAACTATTTTGAGGAACTTTTGCTAAGTTTGATCCTTTACGATATCTTATTTGGACACACATGGCATTCGCATCTGAAGTTCCACTAATTTTTTTAGTAAATATGATAGTAGCATTCTGACCAAGTTGAACAACTGTTTCTAGGTCGTTGCCTGCCAAAAAAAGAAACACAATAACAACAAATAAATGCTTATTTAAAGATGGTTGAGATGATTAAAATAGTTTTTTTAACAGGCCTGGAGCATAAATGCTTATTTAAAAATGGTTGAGATGATTAAAAAAAATTTAACTGCCATGGACAGTAAATGCTTGTTTAAATATGTTTGAAATGATTTAAATAGCATTCTAATAGGCATGAACCATAAATGCTTATTTAAAAATGGTTGAGATGATTAAAATAGTTTTTTTAACAGGCATGTACAAAGTGGTATGTGGTTTTCGATAGACAAATAATTAAATTAAACTTATTGAAAGATTATTAAAATATACTTTTGAGAAATACGGAATTTATATGATTATTTGATAATTGATATAGCAATGCATTTGTCAAAAATAGTTAAATATAGCATTATTTTGTTTTTAAATTTGACTGTAAAATATAAAATAATAGTTTGATCATATGGTAAATAGTCTATTCCCAAAACATGTGATTAGAAAACATTTTAATTAATTAAATTAAAATTAATTTATTAATTTAAATTTAAAATTAATTGGATTTTCAGATTTCAAGTTATGGCATTTAAAAATAAAAGAAATTGCAAAAAAAACATTTTGAGATATAAGGCTTAACTGACTACTTAAACTTAATATTGTATATCCTATAGGTATGCGTTGTTTTAAAATATAATAACTTTTGTTCTATTTGCGAACGGAACACAGTTCAAATCTTTTAAAGAAGACAAAAATAAATTATTTTAATAAATGCAAAAAATATGAAATTTGATTGAGTCAAAATTCGTCTAAAAAGATATTCAAGAATCAATAGTTTGCATAGTGATGCATATTTGCATCAATTTCCATTTTTATTTCATTTTTCTATTCTTCATTTTTCACTTTCATTCATCAAGAAAATCATATATTTATTACAGCTTTCAATTTTTTTTTCTTTTTTAATTTCCATAAATGATCACCTTTTAAATAACTCTGAGAGCAAAGATCAAAGTAAGATTCCCCATTTTATTGCATCAAATATATTGGTTACAAATTCAATAACAGTTAGCAATATATCTTATAGAACTGTATCTTTGCAAAAATAATATATTGCAAGGCTTCCAAAAAGCAAATGTATGGAAAACTCATAAACAAATTGCTGGTAAACTATGCTTATAGGTGAATATTGAGAAATATTTGCGTTATTATTATCTTTGCAAAATTTATGCATTAAAAATTGTGATATTCGTTGAACTTATTAAAAGCATAAAACAATATCGCTAAAGAACAATCGCACAAAATCGCTAAAGAACACTTCAGATCTTCAACTTTATCATGCAATTGACTTAATCTTTGAACAACGACCTTTTACTACAAAATACGGTTTAAATGCAAAGCTATACTATTCAATTCCATAGGGAAAAAACTAAAGGCTGTTGTTTTTTTAATGACACTTGGATAAGTCAAGCTCGCCACCCATTGGCCTTTCTACTGATTAAGTCAGGAAGGTGAGCCCTTCGTTTGACAAGAAAGCACCGCAAGGGTGCAAGTACATCTTAACTAAGAATCCCACCGACAGATGACAGAAACACTCATTCGTGAGACTACTTCCTCAATTCAGACATAGATCTGAAATGGAAGGAAATTTTCTCCAGATCCCTTTACCCATGGTACTGCTCTGCGACCGGCCACAGGAGTTTTGATACCACAGATTTCATGAGCACGCATATTGCATGTACTCAGAGGGTCTTAGTGGAGTTGGGGATCGAACCCCACGCCGCTGGGCCACTGGGCTACCCTGCTCTTAAAACTAAGGACTAAGTTACTTATTACAAAAGTATTATAAGACCTCTTCTCTTAGTCTCTTCTATTAAAAGTCTACACTGCAAAAAAAATTCGGCCTTAAATTACGGTATAAATCACATGCATTTGCGTGCATCATCCGTAAAATCCATTTTATAATAAAATTCATTTTTACCATAAAATATTATACCGCAAACTTTACAGTTACCGTAAATTTTAATTAATTAGAGTGATTCAGTGATTTTACGGCAATTAGTACTGTAAAAATTACGGTACATCAGATTTTTTTTCGTAACATGTACTGGTGAAAAATAACGGCACCCTCAGTGGTGCCGGTACCGTAATTTGATTCGGAATACCGTAATTTGACCAGAATTTCTTACAATATATACTAACGTATTGCCCTGAAACACGGGCATTAACTGCAAAGTGATAAAGAGGCCCTCGAAATTTTTCAGAGGACAATCCTTCAATATATTCAGAGGGGAAAAAGGACAAACTCGGAACTGTGTAAAATATTTAAAGAACCTGGAAATGTTAAATATAAACAACTGGAAAAAAGTTGCCATGGACAGGAGGCGTTGGAGGCTACGTGTGCTTGAGGCAGCCAAAGCCTGTAAGGGGCTGTCGTGCTGAAGAAGAAGAAGGCAAGATGCCGAATTTGAAATGGATTCGTTATGTGGCTGAAATACGTTAAGATAGTGTAAAAAAAAATCTTTTTTTGTCTGAGCCCTTAAAGTAAGGACCTTAAGGAAGACCATCCCAATAAAAGTGAATCAATTGCGAAATGGACTTTGACTTCTAGAAGCAAAAACATAAAATTGAAAAAAGTTCCTAAAAGCTGGGATGTCTAGAAAAACTAATGGAGAAGGCCGGGGCCCATTCCGGGCTGTCGAGTTATTGAGGGAAAAAGACGATAAGTTACTTGTTCCGAGATTTAAATAGAGTAAGCAATTCAAAAACAGGCATATTGAGCAAAAAAAAATTTATCAGCTATGTGCCTAGATTAAAATCCATGGGAAGAGATAGATATATTTCTATTTTAAAACGTGTTATTATTAAATAGATACTTACCCCCTAAAGCTGGTATAATATACCAATTGCTAGCTCCATAGGCATTTATGAGACAATCTGGTTTGTTAGGATTCATAAAGTTGCAATAAAAAATGTGTGGTACTTTGATAGGCTGATAAGGTGCCTGGTTATTATACCGTTCTAAAAAATAATTAAAAACAACAACCATTTTAACCAACTGCTGTTTAACTCTGAAAACAATAATAATTAAAAGACTTGAAAATAACTTCTGAGATTTACATATTAGAAACAATAGTAATTAAATCCCTTGAAAATAACTTCTGAGATTTACATATTGTAAACAATAGTAATTAAATCCCTTGAAAATAACTTCTGAGATTTACATATTGGAAATAATAGTAATTAAATCCCTTGAAAATAACTTCTGAGATTTACATATTGTAAACAATAGTAATTAAAGACTTGAAAATAACTTTTGAGATTCACATATTGTAATAATGATTAATAATTATATTATAATTATTATGACATTTTAATTAAACTTGATAAGACATTATTTTGAGAAAAGTTACAGATAATAATGCGCGTGCTTATCTTTAAAACATTATGTTAAATAAAATAAGAGATAACTGTGCAAGTACATAATTTAAAATTATTTTTCTCATGCGAGTATTAGCATATAGATGATGATTTGCATTATAATGATTACATGAAATTCAAAACAAACTTGATGAAACATGTTGAGTAGAGTTACAAATAATACAGTACGCACAAAGTTTAAGATTCAAATTATTTCATAATTGAATCATTATTTAACATCTGGATTGAATATACTTGAATGTTATTAACATTCTAAGATACAAGTATTGTCATAGCGATGATGATTTGTGCAATAAAGATAGTGACATTTGTGATAAACTTTGATGAGACACTACATTGAATAAAAGTCCGCATAAGCATGCACATGCATAGTTTAAAATACACCTAACCATTTGATATAAGCCTAAACAGACTTTATGTTGCACAAAATTATAGATAATTACACACGTGATTAGTTTGAAGTAGTTTCGGGGGTACTCATATTGAGATAATGATCATGATGATTTGTAGGATAATAATTATGACATTTGTAAAACTTGTTAATACGAAAATTATCGCAAGTAAAAAATATTTTTTTATTCTTTTTTTACTCTTTAATTTATTAATGGTCAAAAAATTTCTGAGGAATAGGATATGCAAATATTTGCACTAATTTAATCTGATTAATTAAATTGACAAAATCAGAAACTTGACATATAGCGATTTATTTTCTGTCCAATCAAAGTACAATTTCATACCAGGTTATATGAATATAAGCGCGTTAGGCTTAAGATTGCGATGATTTAAAACAATAGACATGTCAAGTTACGGTGCAGTGGTCACCATTTCAAAATATTTTATATGACAATACCTTTTTTTCTTCATCTAACCGTGATTCTTAGAATAAAAAATTAAAATGGAGTTAGAATGATATTTTAGCGCGGATGGTGGCAACACTCAATAGAGATGAAGGGAGCAAAATACAAAGCACAAATCACTATGCTTTTTTCTGCCTGCTTTTTCATTGTTTTCAGGAAGCAGTCAGTATGTAAAAAAATTGCTGAGGCATCAAAGATATAAAATACTCATTTCTTCATCTCTGCCTAGTACCACTGTTTCTCCTGCTTAAAATATTACTCCAACTCCATCTTATATTTCTTTACATTGAAAATCACTCTTCGGCAAAAAATTAGACGTTGATATTCGAAAATTTCGAAAGTTGTTCACTAGAACAGTGAGCAATTTTCCTTATTGTCGACTCCCGGACACCTCCACTCTCCGTGAATTTATCAGGCAATTGTTTCATCATCTTATCTGGTAACCTTATATACCAGGCAACCCTATGACTGTCTCAACACAACACTAGCACTTGCAGAATTTGTGAACAAACCTTCATGCTCATGGATATATCTAAAAACTGCAATTAGGTAAGAGTTTACTGCATGAGTTAGGTAAAGATATTATCCACGTTTTTAGACAAGAAAAATTTTAATGGTGAGAAAATAATCCTTCGTTCTTCAAGGAAAGAAGAAGTAGAAGAATTCATCCAAATCTTTTCTTTTTTTTCCGACGCCAACAGAGAAGACGTTCAAGGCGCTGAGATACCATTTTTGAAGGACAGGAGTTTCATCTTTAGAGTTGAGATAACTTTTTACAATTTTTTACCAGAAACTTGATTCTATGTTTTTCTAAATAATTGTCTGAGGAAAACCCATGATTTAGTTCATCACTCAACTTCCTCAATAGTGATTTTAAAAGTATCACTGCATTAATACAACATTATGGACCATTACATGGTTATTTCGCTAATTATTACTTATTATATTGGTTACAGCACAGCTAATTGGCAGTCATTGTTTGACGAATCATTGAACCCTATTTTTAATAGTGTATCTAATTATTTATTCACTATTTTCTAGAGTTTTTTTAATATATCTCTTAATTTTACAGAAAATTTGCCAGTGGCAAATTTTTGAACCATTTGCCATTTGTTGTTGATGGGAAAAAGTTTAGTCTTGTCAACACTTGTTTATACTTGTTAACTTTATATTAGTTTTCATTTTGATAGCGTTATAGACCACTACATGGATACTTCGCACCTTATTACTTATTATATTGGCTACAGCACAGCTAATTGGCAGTCATTGCTTGACGAATCATTGAACCCTATTTTTAGTAGAGTATCTAATTATTTATTCACTATTTTCTAGAGTTTTTTTAATATCTCTTTTAATTTTACAGAAAATTTGTCAGTGGCAAATTTTTGAACCATTAATCGTTTGTTGTTGATGGGAAAAAGTTTAGTCTTGTCAACTTTTGTTTATATTTGCTAACTTTATCTTAATTTTTATTATGCAAATTAAAAAATTAATTAATCGGAATATAATTGCTAACCAAAATATTACAATTTAAAACTACTTACGACAAAGTCCCGGATATTGCGAACCACTCGTACACTGAGTATTTATAGGACATTTACTGCAAGCTGGACTCTGGTCATATACACATCCACCATAAATATTTCCTCTAAAAATAAATAAGCATTAAGTTTTGTTTTTTTAAACCGCTTTAAATTACACAAACCACAATAGAAACTACTTCATAATCACCGCTTTTAATATATATCTTTAGAAATCTTGTGGAACATAAAGCGCGGTTGCTCAAAGGATACTTATGAGATGACCAAGGTTCGGTTCCAGCTTGAGCTGGTCGATTCGAATTACTCACCCGGCTGTTACCGACCACAGTGCTAGCGTAAAATATCCTCTGTGGTAGACTGATCATGGATTAGAGTTCCCTTGCAGTCAGGCTAACCATGGGTGGTTTTCGTGGTTTTCCTCACGGTGTAACGCAAATGCGGGTAAGTTTCCTCAAAACGTCCTCCATGATGGCAAATTACACCCAATAGTTGATCCAGAAGTTTCCTTGTTTTCTGGATTGGGTTCAAAATTACAGGGCTACAGATTTGAACATTGATAGTCATAAACTTAGAATCGGGTCAGCTGTTCAACGACAGTTATTAAATAAGAGTGTTTTGCATTTTAATGACTCTGTTATCGCAAAGTGGAAATAGGACACAAATAATTTCAAATAATGATACACAAGCCGTGGTGGTTCAAGAGATAGAGCGCTCGCCACCCACGGAGGTGACCCGGGGTTCGAATCTCAGCGATAGCAGGTTGATACGTATTCCGCACCCGGCTCGCACCACCCACAGTTCTGACGAAAAATATCCTTAGCAGTGGACGGATAATAGTTTAAAGTCTCCTTGACATCGGGCTAACTGTGGGTGTTTTCGTTGTTTTTCTCTGTATGTAACGCAAATGCAGGTTAGTTCCCTCAAAAAGTCTTCCAAGAAGGCGAATTTTTCTCAATACTTGATCCAAAAGCTTCCTTGCTTCCTGGATTGGATTCGAAATTAAAAGGCTACGGAGTTGAACATTGGTTGGCGTTATAATAGGGTCAGCTGTTCAACGACGGTTATAAAATCATGATGCACTATTCTAAAATAACGGTGAAATAATCGGCAACAATCTGTCTTTCCAACTAACCATAAAGTTGAGGATTAGGAATATTTTTTACCTTTCCGGTTATGAAAGCGTTGAAAACTGTTATGATTAAAAAAACATGAATACAAAACTTTACGGTTTTGTAAGTATTTATAATTGGCATTATTTCAAAACAGTAAAAATGAAATTTAACTGATCATTGGAGTTATGTTAGGCTTTTCTTTATGTAATTAACATTAAAGTTAGATCGCGTTGAGTTGTGTTTTGCCAAGTGAACCATGGAATATGGTTTAATTAGTTTATCTAGTGGTGCCATCTATGATGAGGGATAGGAAGTACTTGATAATTTTTCTGTTAAGCAGCTCCGTGGTGCTACCATCTATGCCTAAACGTGAGTTTCAATTTCCAGTTATCTATGGTCATGCAGAACACTGGAAACTCTTCATGTACTGAAGAAATGGAGGAAATATTGTTGTGTAAACGCGGGGGTTCAAATCCTCGTTCAGCCAGTCATTGGATTGACAAATCAGCTTTCTCGACTAAAGTATATATTCATGGCTGCAGAGAACTAAGTGGCTTCATGAGGTGTTTAGAATTTGTGGATAAAATTCTGGTTGTTAAACCGTAGTAGATGAAAACAATCAATAAAAAAAATTTCTCACAGTTAAGAGTTTGAATGCCATCTTTTTTATAGCTATTTCTTTGCTTTGGTAGTTAGTATACAGGGTGTTTATAAAGTCCTGGACCCATTTTGATGTTTAATAACTCATGAAATAATAAAGATAGATTAAAATTAATAACATAAATGGTTAGATAGACTCAAAAAGCTTCATGACCCTTGTCAATGAACTTCCACGTATGCCCCCTTTGTCGCACGGAGAATATCAAGTCGATAGTCAATTTCACGCCAGGTAGCGGTAAGCATGTCGGCATCCACAGAGGCTATTGCGGTTTTCTGAAGCGCATAATGTTCTCCGACGAAGCATCCTTTCTTGTTTCTGGCATTGTTAACCGCCATAATGTGCACATATAGGGATCTGAAAACCCCCATGAATACCGTGAGACGCAAAGGGATATCCCAAAGGTTAATGTGTGGTGTGGACTAATGCACGATCGAGTCATTGGGCCTTTCTTTTCTACAGAAAAGACGATCTCATCAGTCGTATACTTAGACATGGTGGAAAACTTCGTATTTCCACAACTAGAAGAGGTTTAGCCACATGTCTCTTTGCAACAAGATGATGCGCCACTTTATTGGGGTATCATCGTTCGTAGTTCTTTGAATGACCATTTTCCAGGAAGATGGATTGGGCGAGGAGGTCCAATTCCTTGGCCACCCATATCACCTGATATAACGCCGCTGGACTCTTTTCTTTGGGGATTTATAAAGGACAATGTTTACAGGAGGATCGTGTCGAACATTGATGACCTAAAAGCCAGAATTACAACCGCAATAGCCTCTGTGG